GGGGGGGGGGGGGGGGGGGGGGAAATGTGAAATGTACAGGGTGGACGGAGCCTGATGATCATCAGACCTCAGAAATCCCTTCTAGTAGTGCCATCTGATGGGTTTACTGCAGGTTTTTTTGAGAGGGTGAGAATCCTTGTGTGCAGAAAACATAATTGAAAAGGAAAATAAATCCAAACAAAGGTAATAAATGCAGAGCAGGCACTTTGACAAGGAGCAAACAGATTCCCTTTTGACAAGCAACGGAACTGATGACTGTCAAGCTCTTTCCTTGACAGGAAAAAAATATGTCAGAATCTGCTGCAGGAGAAATCTCCCACCCAATCTGACTATCAAAACACAGCTGGTAACCCCAGGGAAGAAGGGGGTTCCTGAATAACATGGAAAAACAACACAAGAAAATACTCTATTTCTTTTTACTTGAGAAGAATAAATTCTATCACCAGAAAACTCTTTTTGGCTACAGCTATTAATTACGACATTACTGGCATTTTCTAACTCTGGCCTTTCTACTGCTTTCCTCCTTAGTCCCTCCAAGCACCTCTCCCCATCTCATCTATGTTTCTGACAAGTCACTAACTCACTATGCTGATTATCTGAATGTCCTCTCTGGGCTCGTCTGTGACTGCTAGTCCTAGTAATTTACCTTTTTGAAATAGTTATTTACTGAATAGCAATAGAAAGTAATTACTTCTAGTAGCCAAAGAAAAAAAACTGATCTTAGTATTTTAAAACAGGATACTTTACAGACAAGGTCTTAAAGTCTTCAGGGTTCATATTTCTGTAGTGGTACTCTAGTACAGGGCCTCCATTAAGGATTATGGCAGTTCAAGAACTTCTATAATGTCAACATTGGAGTCTCTTTCCTTTCTAGCGTAGCGTTCCTGATTTTTTGCTAACAAATATGAGATACCAACTCACAAACTGAAGGTGCAGTGTTCTGTAAATGAACTTGGATGAACCTAGCAGCGCCTGCTTTATGTAGCTCTTCCTAAATGAGGGCTGCTCTGACAGTGTTTAGAGATTCCGCAGTTCATATGAGGCTACCGCATGCTTCTGCCAAAGGCTGTAACATAGTTTGGGGCGGAGTGCAGCTTCCCCTTTCAGTGTGAAGGTGCCAGAAGTTTTTGATTTAAGCATATGCTGTACTTTCTTCATTAAAACAGCAGTGTGCTTAGCTCAGAAGTACTTAATTCTAAAACTCACTGATACCCTTTTGATAGCAGAGTTGGTAGAATGCCATTTAAGTGTTATTTGGATTTTAGGACTTTGAGCAGCCCTAAATATCAGGAATCAATGGTTGTGATTCCTAGGAAATACAGCTGCAGTGTTGCACTGCTTTCAGCACAAGATTGTCTACCATGATTAGCTATGTTTTAATGAAGTTGTTCTGGATATACTGATGAACACTAACAATAATGTCTTAGTCATTAATTAATTGGGTCAATTGTTATCTGCCTTCCTATTTACTACTATATGGACTTTTTTGGTATTGTTTTTTATATATATATATCTGATTTCTAGTTCAGAATGGTAACCTGATTTCTAGGCTAAATTATAGAAAGGTCATATCTAATGTGCATAATACTGAAAAGAGTAGACAAGAACTGTTTATCAAAGGAAAGCGTATGGAATAAGAAACTGTCACTGAAGCATCTTAGAAGTTGTCCATATTTACATGACACTCCATGTAAATAAAGTGAAGTCATGAAAATAGGTGAGAAGTCCTCTATCCAAAAAACTGATATAGCCAGATGGGTAGAAAGTATTTCAGATAATGGCTGCAGTTGAGAAAATGAACTCAGGGTTCATGAAAGCCCAACTGCTTTGAACAAAATTTATGATCTGAGAGAAAGTAATGAAGTAATGAAGAATCTGTGGGGAATTAGAAAAGAAACATTTAATAAGGGAAGAAAGATTATTTGGGATAGAAAATGAGATAAATGATTGGTGTACAATACTGAGTGTCTGGGAAAAAAAAAATTAACAATATTTGCCTGGCCATTTGTGAGCAGATGGTCATGTGGTCATGATCATCCTGAGTTTGAGTACTAAAAAGGGAATAAATATGTATGGGAGGCAGATCTGTGCTAGGAGCTTTATGACAAAGGATTGTCATCTGGTTTTGTGCACGTCTGGGTGTGGAATAGTGGTTGTGAAGAGAGAGAATTCTAAAGAGAGAGAATTCATACAGGATACATGAGTCAGCTTGGAAGAGCCTTCAGAACATCTTCTAGTCCAACCTCCTGCTCAGATAGGAATGAAGATGGTTGCAAACATTTTGATAAAGTTGTGCATATTCATGTTTGTGGTACAGACTAGCAGATTTTTGAACTACTCAGTTTTATTGGGAATTTGTAAATTTCAAACTGCTCCACTCCTGTATGAGTATATAAAATAAGCTACAGAACATAAAATTGTATATATATTTTCACTCTTAGCCTGATGCAGGTATACGGGCATTAAAATTATTTGGTTTAGGCTATTATTCTTGTGTTAGGAACTAGGTTTGAATTGTCATCATCCTTATTCTTCCTCCTAATACATTTATTGAATGTACAACTGGTTACAGCCTTCTGAGCCAAAGGAACTGCTTTAATGCAATTTAATGGGCGTAGCAAAACACTAAGGGACAGGTAAGGCAAAAAAGAAGTGCATGAAAAAAGCACAGACATACTTTTGAGGACATACCTATGGTTCTTTGAGGAAGAACCATAAAAATAAAATTAATGTTCTTTCTTCTCTACATGAAAATTATATTTCCAATTGCTGTTATAGAGCTTACCAAGCATACTTACCTGTGCATTCTCCCATTTTCAAGGTTGTGCAGCATACTGATGCTGTTAGGGTCGAAAGGAACAGCACATCAGCAGAATAACTGCAGTCTGTATGATAGGACTTGCACTGCTAGTAAGATAGAGGATTAAATTTTAATAAATATATAATTGATTAGTCCCAGTTAATATAGTATTATGACTTAGTGATACCATCCATAATTTAGGTATATTAGGTTGGGCTTTTTATAGGCTTAATAATCTTCAGTGTGCTGAAAGAACAGTGTAATAGTTGAGGACAGCAGGATTTCAGGTCATTATACTGTAGATTTTTTTTAACTGTATATTTATCAACTAGCTTCAATGCCTGTCATATCAGTTGTCTAGTGACAGCAATCAGCATTCCTGCAGAGAGGTGACATACAACTCAAGCTTTATGCAAATTGTCTGGTAATAAACTTTTCAATACTAATAATGGATATCTGTATGATATTATTTACAAATTGAAATTTTCTAGAAAACTGAGGAAAGTTTATGGTCTAGCTAGCAGCTGAATTAATGTAATTTTGCAGCACAAATGGAGATTGGAGAAAGGAAAATATGCAGGCATCTCAGCTCAGCTGTTGCCAAAACATGGGGATGAGGAAGATTTTCTGACAAGGTTGAAGAGAGATTAAAAAATGCAGCTGTACAGTGAAAAACATGGGCTACTAATGCCACTACAGCTCAGGTACTTGTGCGAGTGACAACAAAGCTTTTTTATTTTCTTATTGGGTACAAACTGATGCTATTTTAAACTAATTTATGTAGGTAGTAAAGATGGGGAAGAAACTGGTTGTGTTAAAAGTAAAACCAGAACAGTCCACCTGGCTGAAAAATCAAAATGAAATGGAAGAGTAAACAAAACTGTTTTGGCAAAGTTTTAGAGGGCTTTTTTAATACTGTAAGAACAAACACTGGTAAATTAGACATAGTAATTGAGGTAATAAATCAGAGGCTTAAACATGACAGAGATCTGGAATTTATCTAACACAAATACAAAAAATGTCTGGAATTTACATTCCAAGTATGAAAGAGGGATGAGTAACTACCTTCACAGTCAGAGAAAAAACAAGGAAAAGCTCCGTATAGAATGGAGAAGGGAAAAGAATAAATCCAGAAAGCTATGATTTGGAGTCTTGGAGGTGCAGGCTCAAGGAAGATTTGCCAAACCTAATTCAGAGCTAGATCTTGCAGAAGACTGAAACAAAAAGTAAAATGACTATTTAGCAATATAGGCAGCACATTGCAACTAGCACATAAAGAAGGGGGAGCCCTAAAGGTTTAGTATGACCTAGATGCATGTCCCAGCCTAATGAGTAATTTTTGCAGCTTTCAGAACAGACAAAGATGTAGTAAGGAAAGTCAAAACCAGGAGATAATATACACAAAGTGAAAAGAACTGTGGGATGAAAGCTGAACTAGGAGAGCTCAGCTTGTTCAAAGGGATGGGAAGCATAACTGACTAGAGAAAAACTAGGGAATTAAGTTTTATGGCTTGTGGTTGAGATTTTAATCCACCTGTTGTATTGTGCTGGTGCTATATAACAAGCTTCACTTTTATTTTATGAACATTTGCTATATTTGCAATTATTCCATTAATCTACAACAGCACACAAAACTTTAAAATAAAGCTGGAATGAACACTATAGAAATAAATGGAAGATGAGATAAAAGTTTACCAAAGATAGACTGTGAGTGTATTTTAACAGCAGCAGAATTTTTATGATGGAAACCTATTAGATACAATTAATTTATATCTTTACAGTAAAGCATTTGACAATGTAGCACTTGTGAGATTATTAGGTGAAATGGGAAATTGCACAAGAAATGTAAGTTAGATAAAGAAGTGGCTAAAAGAGGGATGAGAATAGCTCTGTGCTGGAAAGAGGACTATGGACCAACGAGAAAATTCAGTGGAGGCTCCTTATACCAACATTTGGCTAATATTATTTAACAAAGACAATGACATAAAAATAAGAATGTGCTAATTAAACTTGATAATGGCAAGAACAGAGGCATTGCTCACAATGAGCCATATCAAAAATTTCAATTCTATAAAACAGGTGATCTATGGAAGTAGTGTTGAATTTAATACAAATAGAAGGCCATGTCCTTAGGGATTAATAACAAGATTTTCTGGTATAATAGGGAGAATTCATATAAGGGAAGCAATTATTTGGAAATGCCCAATTATAATTATTAATTATGGTCATTATGAGACACTAGTATAATTCAGCCAACTAAATGTTAAATGCAGGGCTGTAAAATATTCCCAATAGAGACTGGGAAGTACCACTGTGTCTTGAATACTGTGTACAATTCTAGTTCAGAATATGAACTGAGAAAAGTGCAAAAAATTCAGTGGACTGAGCAATGAAAATTTAAAAATCGCTTAATGGCAGAAAGGCTGAGTGGCATATGATTGCTGTCTGTGCATAGATTACATCCAGGTTAGCACCCTCATAAAGCAGAGAGCTATTTTAAGCCACAGGAAATTGCTAGCCCAGAAACAGATGAATATAAACATAAATGTAATTAAGGAGGAAGTCAGGATGTTTCTAAGCATTTGAATATTGTGGTTCTGGACCTGTCTCTCTACAGGAAATGTGGGTAGAAAAGCCCAACAAATTTCAAAATTGAATATATGAACACATTTGTGTGGTGAGGTTTTCTGCAGAGAAGGCTGAGCTCAGTGATTCAGACCATTCCTTCCAGACATATGTCCACAAAAGGTTAGAGACTACAGATAAATGGCAAGATCAACTTTATTCTGAGGAAAAGTCTAATGAGAAATTAGCATGGATTTTACATAAGAAATCATTAAATCCATGGAAAATGCAGAACTGCTAAGTGAAATAAATAGAAAATGGAAAATCCTGATTGTTGGTGTAGCTTATTTATTTTTTAAATACTGACTATTTAAGCATGCTGTTTCATAGGATGCATTTTGAAAGATTCTTTAGGAATATGACTCCTCCTCCAAATTAACATCTGATCCTATGATCCCAAGACACCAAAAAGCCCACCTCATTACAGTAACTGGAAGCTTCACCTGTGGCTGCACAATGAAGCCATAAAGTCACCTCAAAATTATGCAATAAGTTTGATGTTTTCTGTCAAAATGGCATGTAATGCTTTGATTTTAGAATAAAATAAGTGTGTCAAATGCATCTATTCTTGTAGTATTTTAAAAAGAAACATGGCAGAATTACAGGGTACAAAATATAAAAATAGGCCAAAAATAAATCTGGATATGGGGTGGGGCTTTTTCTTGGTTTGGTTGATTTGGTTTGCATTTTTTTGAGAACTAAAATTCCTCACCTCTTTTCACTGCAAAAAGAAACTGGATAAAATTTTATGGGTCTGGATATGTACAGGAAGTTCTGATCATTATGAATGTCTTAAAATTCTCTAGTTTTGCCAAGAAGACTTGTATAAAATGCTAGCAAGCCTTTCTAGCCAACAAAAGGCTGTACTTATGTCTGCAAAATACCTCCTTCCTCTCCTACTGTGTTTTGATCACAGTAAATGTACTGGCAACAATATCAAGACCCTCATTTTTTTGGAAACTATACAGAAATACAGACTTGTATTCATATATGCATACATTAATACATGGTATAACTTCAAATACTGTAAGTCTGAGGTTTATGTTTAAACACCTCATAGACCTGTCTAGTGTATGGCTTTGAAATAGATTTTTCATACTAATTTTTTGCTGTTTTTGTTTTGTAAAATGGAAGAGCGCATACATATTTCAAATTTGTCTACAGGATCAGTCTGACCACGGCTTCAGTTTGAAGTTCAAGGCCAGCACTGCCATACAGCCTGAAAAAATCAAGAAAAAAGCCTCCTTTAGGTTTTTGAAGTGTAGCATTAGATTGTATATCTGAACTGAACCAATTATCTTTATTACATATGTCCATCACAAACATACCTGTAATAACTGATCTACCCAGCAAACATTTGATAGCCCAGCAGGCTTTCCATAAATGAAGATTTTACAGCTAGGACTTGGATCAGTAAATAAACCATCAGATTTATTAAAGCATTAGAAAGATGGCCTGACAGGCTTTGTGAAAATATTAACAATAATACATCAATCAACTTGTATATGTTTATTTTCTGTTTAATTTTATCTGTTGAAGGAAAAATGTTTTCACCTTTCCCATTTTATAATTTTATAGCCCTATTTTATTTATAATTTAAACTGCTAAGATTTTATTCAGGTATTGTTTATTACATTGTAAGAAGAAGACAGTAGAATTGCATTTTTATAAGGTAATTTTCAAAATCTTTGTATAAAATACTCTAGGAAACATGTACATACTGACCTGCAAAGTAGGTCCTTTGAGGAGAAAATACGATACATTAAATGTAATAGCAGTATTCTACAATATCATCACCTAGAATACTTGTTGTACAAGTAATATAACAGATAATTAAAACTGAAGAGAACATTAGTAATTTAAATTTGTTGATAAATATGAGTTATTTCCCTTTAAAAATACAGGAGAAGTCCTTTTGAAAGACAGATGTAAAATTATTATACCTTAGTATCCAATTATGTTTGGTTGTGATCACATCAATTTTGAGGATTGGAAGAATAACATTAGGCATTTGAGAAGAACTTTTTCTTAGAAGACATCTTGAGCTGCCCCTCTCAAACAATGGCAAAGCATGAGATGACAGAGAGCTCTCCATCTTTTCCTCTGTGAAATGCCCCAGCCATGCCATGCCTGGCTAGCAGAGTGAATCTGGCTACTTGGGAGAGGAAGCAGGCAGGGAGGTGGAGGTACATCCAGTCTCCAGGGAGGCCAGGCCTCTCCCTCCTGAAGTGAGCAGCAGATGTGGGAAGGGTGAAGGGCTAGGAAGTGTAACAGCAGCTTTACAGGGGAAGAGCAGAGCCAATCTCCAGCTCCCCACAGCCCTGTCCCCCCAGCCATGGGCCCCTCCAAGCTGGGCATACTTAAGGGTCCCTGTCCCAGCCTGTCCTTGTCAGGGTGGTGCCTGATTCCAGGGCTAGGGCTGTCCCTGGTGCTCCCAGTGCCCTGCTCCTGACTGGGGAGCACCTGGCCTGGAGTGCACAGCTGGCCCCTGAGACCCCAGTCCACACAGCACCCTGACAACAGGTCAGAAAGAGGAAATAAAATAGGTACAGGAACTTCAATAGCTCCACTAAAGTCCCAAACACACGATAGTCCTGCAGGAGGTAATTTCTTCTGTGCTGTTCTCCTGGCAAGGCCAGACATGGGATGGTGCTGAGGCTACAGCCCAGCAGCCACACATCACACCTGGCAGAACTGAAAACAGAGTTCTTGTGTTTCTGCATGCTGAGTAGGTGTCAATAAAAAATTAGCCCTTGGTAAAATTACTGAATAGATCTCAATACATCTGAGTAGTGCTGGCATAGACAAAAGGATTTTTAGTGAAAGAAACCTGAGGAAGGACTGGGAAAATGTAGAGTATGGCTGGAAGCTTGGCATGCCATCAGAACAGGAACCTGTGTTATTGGAAATCCTGTTGTGCTTCACAGATCCCGCTGCAGGGAGATACAGCTCCCCCTCCTTTTCCATTCGCCCAATTCCTCTCACTCCTAGAACATGCTAAATGCATTGCATGAAAGCCACATAGGAGTAATGATACAAGGGCATCATCACTTGATGTTGGCAGCATTGAGTATGTCAGCAAGGTTTGAAAAGGCTGATGGAGCAAAAGCCTGCAGTCTGTCACATTAGGGTTGTTGACGGGAGTCAAAGATGGCACAGGTGAATACATCCAACTGTCCCTCTAGCTCTGTCTGGCCAGAATGGAGATCTGAATTGCTGCTTCACATGGCACCCATTTCACAAATGTTAGAATCACAAATGTCCATTACAATTTCATAAGGAAAATGTTATGAACTGTCGTAGTAGAGAAAGAGAGTGACACCTGTTTCTCCTCCCATCATAGCTCAATCTTTATTGCATACAGCTTATATTTATATGGTTATCAGAAGGCACCGTGTTTAATTCCAATTGGTTAAGAACTCAGTTAATTGGTTGGTAATGGTGAGTGTATATGTTAATCAAAACTTTTCTCTCTAACAATGTTTACATATTTTTTCTACTGATTCTCATAGAACAGATCCCTTGCTATTACAGAGGCACTTGTTCTTCTCCCCAAGAATAGTTTGTTATGTTAACGAACTTTTCATTCTCAAGATGTTTTTGCATGGGAACTTATCAGGCTAGCTGCTAGCTAAACTTAGCTGAAGTAACAAGGCCTGAACCATGATTTTACAAGGCCTTTCTTTTGTAAGGTTTTACCTATGTGTGAAAATGGACCTTGTGAGAGGGCTTTTTTTTTTGCCCCTAAATATAATGCTATGACTTTATCAAAACATACAAAAGAACTCAAATCCTAAATTTTCTGTAAACAATCACTCTCACATCTGTTTAGACAGTTCAGTACATTACTCATTGTAAAACTTTTCAAAGAAAAAAATCCTTATCAAAGAAGGAAAATCCTTAAATTAAAATCAATTAATTAAAAAAAAATTAGCTATACCAGATTTTAATATGTTAAATAGGTAGAAACAATGTAAAAAGCAGACCAGAGTGTTCTTAAGGGACTTGTTAGTTCCTCTAGCTGGTTAGTTCCTTCCTTCTTATCAACAAAGAACTCATGTTATATACAGCTACTGTGGTTTTGTCTGTAATGTAAAAGGCTTGATGGTTTGCTTCTGTCAGGATAGAGCTGAAGAAACTGCTCCGTATTTCTTTACTCTAGACATCAAGAAGTCCTTTGGTCAGGCTTTTTAGTAAATCCTAAAGAAAAGTGTGGCTCAACTGCATTGAGGCAACCAATTCATTTAATACACTGGATACACTGCAGAAAACTACACTTTATCAGCATGGGCATTGCTCACTCAATAATACAAGAAAATGTCAAAGTAGGAGATTTTAATTTCTACTAATGTTAAATAGTAACTACTTGTGCAATAATATCAAAGCAACATTCACACAAGTTTAACTTCATTTGTGATAATGGAAAATACTGCTGTCAATTTTGTGCTAGTGTTAAATAGGTTTTGTTGGGGTTTTTCTTTGTCACAGTAACAGATGTATGGTAACAATAAAACTGTTAATGTATCTTTCTCTTTAGTCATAATTTGGTATAACTTTCAGGGACATGGCATAAATCTGTGTTTAGGATTCTTATAAACTCTCTCTGTTCATTTGCTTTACTCTCAAAAAGCATATTTTCTGTATTCTCTTTTTGAGAAGCCATTAGCTACCATCACTGTGAGCAGCTCAGAGACAATGTGAAAAATGACATTCAGCAAATAAACTGAATGCTTTTTTTATTAAATCTGGTTTTTTTATCATGCACTAGAGTATCAGAAGCTTGAAAGGGCTTTGAGTCTCACTCATAAGAGAGAAATAACTATTCTTCTGTAGATAGGTAGTAGTTTACCCATTGCTGAAGTATGCATTTACAGATTTCAGGAACTATCCGTATACGATTGTAACAAATATTTCCAAGAACAGGAGAGTTCTGACTCAACTTTCTCAGGTCAGTCTCCCAGTGTGAACTGCACACACACTAGAGTTTTGCTCCCACTTAGAATCCAATGAGTTCCGACCTGTTTTAATTTGATTTGCAGTAATGTAATAACCTGTAACCCTCTTTTAAATTGGTTGATGCTGATCATGAGTTCTAAAACTACCTGGAGAAATTATGCCAGGCAGACAGAAAGACAACTGCAGATTGCAAAATTACATAAGTTTTCTGTTCTCAGGATAAAGACTAAAAGTGCATGTGGCAAGGTAATTATTTTTTAATTCTCTCTTTAAAATTGGCAGGGTGCTTCTTTTAGATTTCTTCCCTATCTTCTGTATCAGTTCTAGATAGATACATATTTCTATACATTACATACTACATTTTCTATATTCTATATTCTAATGTTTCTATATTCTAATGACAAAACTTCATGGATGGTAACACCTGAACAAAAACTTGCCTCCACATCAGTAAGTGACTGTACACTTAAAGCCAAGCTTTCCAAGTTGGCAATCAGGCCCCACTCATTTGATGACTTCCAGACTACCAGTGTCCATGATCACTGTTTTGTTCTGAATCCTCTTCTCTCTGTACTTTCATACTTATCTCTGGGTGATGAATAGCATTTTATGGACTAATAATAAACTAAAGATAGGAAACAATGATTAAGAAATAGTTTTAGAATTTTCTAAAGGATAAAGTCATCTAAAACATCTAAACATCTAAAAAAAGGCTGCAAATGAAGTGACCATACAGTTGACAAAGTGTGCAGATGGTGCAAAGGTATTCACAGCAATCAACTGGAAATCTGATTGAGAAAGGTCACTGTAAAATATTAATTATAAAATGACCAAAAAGTCAGTGTGGTAGATCTGAAGCAGAGAGTATAGGGAAGCTAATCCTATCATCTACACACAGTAGTTACCTGTTATCTTTTACCAATCACAAATGGTCTCTTGACAGATACTGGAGCTCAGAAGACAAAAGCTTAACAGAATGATCAGAAGGCACTGGAAAAGGAGCACAAAACAAACCAGGCATCATAATTCCATATAATCCTTAAACTCTCTGTATGTGAAATTCATTACATGGAATTCTGGTCATGCATAAGTATTAGTGTAAGAATTAGAAAAACTAAAGAAATTCAGCAAGGAGACTATTATGTAATGGCTTTACCATACAAAGAAAAAAGGCAAACTTTTCAGTCCAGGAAGGGAAATACTTAAGTATATTAATAGGGTACAAAATTTTGCAGAAAAAGTGAATAGGGTGCTTATTTTTTCCTCATAATGCAAGAATCAGGCATTGGCTAGAGAGAAAAAAAAAAAAAAAAAAAAAAAAAAAAAAAAAAAAAAGGAAATACTGGTTAAGACAATACGCAATTAAGAAGCTGAACATCCTGTCCAAGAAAGCACGAAGTGTAAAAGCATAAAAAATTATTTTTCCAGTTCCTTTGTGGGGGGCAGGCTCAGGGATGCTATCAGACATTCTGGGTGACTCCCCGGTAAGGAGGCTGAGGCAGGCTCGGCTGCAGGAGGTTATTTGTGCCCCGTGCCCTCGCTGGCGGTGCTGGGACAGGCTGCCAGGGCACCCGCGTCTCCAGACCTACATTGATTATCAACAGAAAGGCCGCGGAGCCTCTTACAGCATCGTGTTTTACACAGCTGAGCATTCCAGACTCTGGAGAGAGACATCGCTCGGGTATTCCGTCCCGGAGAGCTTCATGAGGGATGAGGGTGGAGGAAAGGAAGGGCTGGTTCTAGAAACTGCATCCCACCTCTTCCCGCAGCAGTTCCCTGCTCCAGTCCCACAGTGCGGCGGCGGAGGGCGCACAATACGCGAACCCCA